GCTGGGTGTTGCGGCTTCAACAGTATGATATGATGCTACAGTACCGTCCAGGCAAGGATAACCCAGCAGACTTTACAAGCCAACATCCTGGGAACAGTGCATCATGCAGCCGTGCAGAGATAATCGGTGAAGAGTACATTAACTTCCTGGCACAGGCAAGCACTCCTATTGCCTTGACCCTTGATGGGATCAGAGCAGCAACTGCTGGTGATAAGGAAATGCAAGATGTCATAAAGGCCATCAGATCAGATCGGTGGTCACAAGAGATCTCACAATACCAGAAGGTCAGAGGGGAGCTATCGGTTACAGCGGACCAAAGCCTAGTCCTCAGAGGACGACGCATAGTTCTCCCACAGTCATTGCACCAGAGAGCAATAGAGCTTTCTCACGAAGGCCACCAGGGACTAGTTAAATCTAAGCAATTGCTCAGAGCGAAGGTGTGGTTCCCAAATGTGGACAAGCTAATGGCGGACCAAATAGAAAAATGCATAGCAAGCCAGAGTAATATCACAACACCCCAGACTACGGTCCCTCTACAAATGACAGACTTACCGGATTACCCATGGCAGTCTGTCAGCGTTGACTTCTATGGTGAGCTACCATCAGGAGAACATCTTATGGTTTTGATAGATGATTTCTCCAGGTATCCAGTGGTTGAGATCATACTCACTCACTGCTACGACTGTCATTACTGTCCTTGACAGAGTGTTTTCTCAGTTCGGAACCCCAGAAAGGTTGAGGTCCGATAACGGCCCTCCCTTCAACAGTCAAGACTTTGCAGACTTCACTAAATATCTCGGTATAAAACACCATAGTGTAACTCCTTTGTGGCCACAGGCCAACGGGGAGGTAGAGAGGTTTATGCGGAACTTAGGAAAGGTGACCAGAGCCGCAGCTGTTGAACATAAATCATGGAAACAGGAACTGTTCAAATACCTAAGAAATTATCGTGCTACACCACACTCCACAACAGGAGTCCCACCAGCAACAGTTATGTTCGGACGTGACATACACATCAAGCTCCCATCAGTCGATGATGGAAAGGGCACCCCGGACAAATTCAACAGTAAAATCAGATCGAGAGATAGGGCTGCCAAAGCAAGGATGAAATCTTACTCAGACTCTAAACGGAGAGCGAAGGACTCCAATCTACATGTTGGAGACATTGTACTTGTGAGACAGAAGAAAGTCAACAAGCTGACACCTCCTTACAGTCCCAAACCTATGACTGTGATAATTGTCGAAGGAACAAAGGTGACAGCAGAGTGTGATAGATATCGTATAATGCGAAACGCGTCCTTCTTCAAAAAATTTCGTGGGGAGAAGGTAAAGGGGTCAGGGACACCCAATAAAAGACTCGTTCGTGATCGACTATGACGAAGTGGACATTTTAGATCCAGTTGCTCATAATGATCCAGCTCCGGTTGAGATTCAGCCTGCTCCAGTTAGACCTCAGCGCAGTGCCAGGCGGCCCGCATATCTGCAGGACTATGCTGTTTGATCCGTTTACAAGTGGACATTAATCAGAGTGAAAATTTGTCAGGGAAAACTGTCACTTAATTATATTGTTTAATTTCACCTAATATGTTCAATCCAGTTGTATTTTGGACATCAGTCATGCTACTTTCAGTTTCTTCAACATTAAGCAATTCTCCCATTAATAGGGTTTTAAACATAAGTTAAAGGACTTTGTTTAACTTTCATTTGGTGTTTATTATTCCATTATATTAGACATTGGTTGTCAATCCAATAAGAAGGGGAGAGATGTGATATTCAGTGTACAGTGTAGTTTTACGTTTCCCCGATAGGGGGCATTAAAAGTCTTCTTGTTTGCAGCAACCATTAGTGTGAGGCGTTGTTTGTCTCCGTGAGATAATATTCAAACATTACAGTTCATACCACTTTCCAGGTACTTGCTCACCAAGTTCACTGCTGATTGACCAGTGCAGATAGCTGGCTACCTTGTTATGGCAGTTTATGTACTCGGTTGGAGCCAGCACTGTGTATCCGGCGATGATGTGGCTGATGGTCTCTTCTGCCTTGCTGCACATTCTGCACTTGCTGTTGACCTGTTGCTTGAGGATGTTGCGTTGATGGTATCTGGTGTTGAGTGCTTGGTCCTGGCATAGTTAGTAGAGGGAGTCTCCCTCTACTAACTATGGTCCTGGGCTGCAATGATCAGGCTTTCTGTCTACCCCTTGAGCCTGGAACTACTCAGCAACGCAACGCTTGCAATCTTGTCGACAAATGGCCTGTCGAGGCTCTTGTAGATTTTTCCATGCAAAGGCTTGTTCTTCAATACCTCGATCTTCACTGCTTCCATATTGGCCTTCAGTCTCTGCATGCTTCGTTAAAATAAGGATTGGCTGATGGGCTGATGAGACAAGTATTGAGCTTTGATGGGGGCCCTAGGACCCCCCCCAATAAAAATAAAAATAAAAAACAACAACCTTTTTCTCTTAAAAGGTGTATAGTATGGAAGAAATAGTATTGTCAACAAAACAGCGTCTAAATTGATTTTAAAGCACAATTTTTACATTACTCAAAAAAAAATTTCAGACCACCAGACCCCCCCCCCCCATTGTTACTCGCTCGAGGACCCCCCCCCCCCCCAAATCCAAATTCCTGGCTACACCCTTGTGCTGGTGCCATGGCATTTGTTTTCAGGCGCAGAAGTATTTGTAATTGTATGACCAACGTGTCCCTCTCTATTGATTAGACATGCCAATGCGCATTTAGAATGTGCATATTCAAATTTACGTATGGTAGGACCCGCGGGTCATAAAACAAGTCCGATCTCAAACTGTCAAGTCAAAGTAAAAACATGATGATTGCGACATGACTGCTGGTGTCGCCACCTACGTTGGCACTGCGTTGACCCGGGCTCACGAGTTCCTAGTGGAGTACGGGCGGAAAGGATCGCTGAGGGCTGTGTTCGTGCTGATACACGGAGACGTCGCCGACGTGGAGGATGCGTGCCGACCTGCACGGCAGCTGGCAACACAGGGTAACTATACGTTACATTCGGCACTGGTCAATATGCGACGAATTTGTCTCGCCGTCATTTCGGAAGATGGCGGTACGGATTCGGCCGACGTCTGTCTGTCGAATGCCATACGTCCCTGACTACCCTGTCCCTTAAGCGGCGACACACCATGCGAATTTATTCGCACGTCTGCAGCGAAATTAGCATGGTGTGTCACGCTCAAGCGCGGGCGAATTTCGCTGCGAATTCCATCCGCACCGAAATTCGCAGCAATCAAACATGTTTGATATTTTTGCTGCGAACGTGCGAACGTGCGAATATAGACTGTTACCCATATCGAGCTTGTGAGAATTAAGGGATGGGTACCAGTCTAGTGCGAATACTGGCCAATTGTTATAATGTAGCAAATCATTGATCAGTATTCTAATCACGTGACCACATGACTGTTGGAGCCATGGTGGAGCCGTGTGGCGCCAGTAGATCGCGTGTAGCGTGTACGCTGCGGACGTGCGAATAAATTCGCATGGTGTGTCCGCTCAATTATCGCATGCGGGTGCGAATATTTTCGCCGCGATCGCCGCGGACGTGCGAATAAATTCGCATGGTGTGTCCTAGGCTTTAATGTTCTCTGCTGAGAATAGATGACTACCATACTCTACCCTGTCGACTCCCTACCGCTTAAACCCCCCTCCCCCCGCCGTATAGCCCTTCGCTCCACAACAGATTGCCGGGAGCTGCAAGTAAAACACCTGGTGGAAAGTACCAAAAGCCGATCAGGGGTGGGGGAGGTATACCGAAAGAGCTCTCGACCTTGCCGCGGGGACCTTGAAAACCTGACCGTCGCAAACCGCTGTGCGCCCTAAAATACACCCTGTCCCAATATACTGCAATAAAAAGTATACCCTGTTGCGATATTGCACACTTCGGTTATGTTCTGGCCTATATTGGGCCAATATCAGCCTGTGCAAATAATGATGATCGGAAAATATACCCTGTCCACCGGCACGTTGCCAGTACCTTTAACAATGGGAGTGCCCCCTGGGGGGATCTAGCTTTCAGGAGACGGGTAGGTTGATATGATATTTGAGTAAAGGCGTGCCTAAGGCACGCGGTGCTAGGGTGGTCTGGGGGCATGCCCCCCTCCCACCTGGAAAATTCAGGCAGTCGTGTAGTCACAGGGGAAATCCCCAGTTTCTATCAGCCTGCAGACTGACTTTTTTAATTTGGGCCCCATTTAACTAGTATCATACCATTAGTCAGCTGAACGGGGGGGGGGGGGTGTTTGCAACCCCCCAACCCCCCTCTAGATCCGTCACTGTTTTAAAGCATTATCATGCTAGTATAGTGGATGCTAAGTCAGTTAAGCAACTGGGCATGCACAGCCTAGGGCTACAAGAACAAGTAACTAAGCTGTGGTACTGGCCTAGAGGGTCTAGCAACTGCAGTGGTTTGGAAAGTGTCTGTGATCCGGCAGTATTTTGCTTCGTTGACGGTAATAACCTAACGATTACTCCAAAGGTTAACGGTTATTTCAGTGTGGAAATTCCCGTACCAACCGAGCATCCTGTTTAACAAACTAATAATCGATTTCATTCCATTTTCTCCAACTTGCAGGAGCAGAAGTGTTCGTGTGTGCAGATAGGAGAAAGTAACACGAACATGGGCAAATGCATCGCCACCGACGAAAAACACTTAACGTCGATTGCAGCCGTTTAACTGCGGTCAAGAATGACAAGCTGACCACTTCCCTTTCCCGCAAAAATTCCAGGATAAACTGCTTAAGCAAATATTTTTTTGCATATGATATATATACCGCATTATATTTTGCTTCATATAAAAACTTTCTACCATACTTTTTTATGCCGAATTGAGTTATCGCCAGATGTTGCACCGAATCGAATATTTTAGTTATACACACTACGATAACACGGTTAAAATCAATATATATATATATATATATATATATATATATATATATATATATATAGCAAAATAATAAATGAACAACGAATTGTACTGTTTTGTAATAAAATATTAATTTTTAGTTTTTTTATTATTTTTTTATTAAAGTCTCTGTATATTATTTACAGTATAGGTTACACTAATGGTGTCAAAACCATCGTATCAAGCACTGGCCGCACATACCAACATTCCTTTGATCCCTAATGAAACCCCCAATGACACCACTTCACACTTGTACCAGTACAAAAGGATGCCTTGCCATATCTGACTCAAAGCACGGAGAATTGGTCAACACGAATAGTGATTTGTGAGAAGAAAAGCTGAACTCAACATAGCGATAGTGATGCAACGGTAAGCGCGTGTGGCAGGGTGCATTCTCAGACACACCCGGTATTCTGTAACGGTCGTAAAACACTTACTAAAAGCAAATAAAGCACCACAGTTTCACTTCATAATCTGTTAATAAGAAATAGCAGCCGAATTAATCGTTGGGACCTTTTGCATTTCAATTACCTAAATGACCTCATATTAAAAAAAAAAAAACAGCAGCGCACAAGTTTACAGAGCGGCATATATAATGTAAGCACAGCTACACCGTTATCATTATCATACACGTCATACAACATAATCAAATGTCTTATTGATTATTTTCGAAATTTACAACACCCAATATTGGTTCCTAGTTGTATTTAATTTATGTGAACACGGCACATTTTTTTATTTTAGGCTTTTTGTGTTCATTATATTTACAATATTGCAATATGGGACTGAAACCATTGATCTCCGTACACTGCCGCCTGCGTGAACTAATGACTGAATCTTTGGAAAAAAGTTTAACAATTCACAGAATCTAGCAGCGATTTGTTTTTCCAATTCCTTTATGCTGAAAAATAATGTGGCATTTCGTTATCACGCGAACAGCAAAAGTAAACTAAAAGTAGAAGTATACCATGTAACTTTACACATAGATACAACACGGAAACACACTTTCATATGAATGAACTTGGGACCACATCTGCGTGTGCATTTGACATAAACACACCCTCCCACATACACACTAACTTTAATGTGAGCACCTGTATGCTCAACACAGAAACGCGTGCACACAAATACTCACGCACCATCCTAAACACACGCACGCACGCACGCACGCACGTAAGTATGCACGCACATAACCCCCCCCCCCACACACACACACACACGCACGCACGCACGCACGCACCCACGCACGCACGCACGCACGCACACACAAACACAGTGTCGTGCATATATCCAAGCACATATCAATACCAATGCCTATCTTTCCCAAGTCTCACTTGAAATGCACTACTCAAAACTTTCTCATCCCTGTATACACAGTCACTCAACTGTAAGCCACGAGAACGAAAGGAAAGATAATGCCCACAACAACGAAAAGTAACGTGTGATACCTCATGTTCAACCCTCCAACGCAACTCTTACGGCACCACTATTATGGCCCCTAAGAGACCAGCTGCAACTATCCGTTGGCTTCTCCCCGGCTTCCCGCAGTCTCTCGTAACTCCCATCCCAGGGGTCGCCTCGTGTATGGTCGCTGTTGCTGCTGTTGCTGCTGTCCTTGGCTGGATTCTCGTACGGCCATTGATGACCTGCTGCACGGGGACTTTTTCTCAGGCACTGCAGATAAGACGACCACTTGGTTCACTTCGAGTGATTCTGCACCTAGATCTTAGTATCACGCATGTCGCTAGAGCCAGATCTACTAGGTTTGATCACGCATGGACCACATAATCATTTGAGAATTGACTACTCCAGGCATAATATTACTGAAATTTCAATTCATATCGTTAACTGCTATCAGGTTGCAGTGATTTAAAAAACTGCACTGTCAAAGACCAAATAAAAACATTTGCAAAATATAGTTCCACGTTGGTGATCCCGTCAAATTCTGGAGGATTACAAATGCTTTGACGCATATTAACCTACGTGACTCAGTCGAATAGGTGAAGGACTCAGAAGGAGAGTAGTGGATTCGTCTTAAGTTTGCTGGCTGATACGTTGATAACGATAACTATGCTGTGCAGCTTGCAGTAACGCAATGATGAAAACAGTGAACTATCGTTCCAAAGTTTCATTGCACATGCACACTTCCTACACGTCAGCGCGGCACTAAGCCCATAACAGCATTAGCGGCTGAAAGGAAGGACGATTGATTGATGTAACCAGATGAGGTAGAAAATTAAACATTGACATTGGAATAGATGATTGAATGAACTAGAACTGAGAGAACCGGCAGAATTTTGTGGTAACCAGCATTGGGTTAGTCACGAACTCCTGACATGGTCGAATTAAGGTGGTCACCATCACGTTCCTTTCAGTTGACCACTGTGTTAGTCAATTTACCAATAAGGCTGATAAAGATAAAGATGTGCCCGTCGGACAGTGTTGCTAGGCCGCACCCACTTTATAGATGAATATGCAAAATACATCATAACTTTGAGGCTGTTCATTACTGTTTTGTTGAAACGAAAAGCCACGATGCTGCAAAGTGCAAAACTTTGGATTAATGTAATTAAAGCAGGGATTAATGTTGTGAAAGGTGACATGTCAAAGACGCAGACGCGTATACTATAGAATACGCAGCATAGTCTGCTAGCAGTTCAGAAGTTGGATTCTAGAGAGAAGCATGGTGTGCACACTGCAACGTAGCTGCAGAAATTTGCTAGCCTACGTTTATTTGTGGGTCTCTACTAACATTGTTTATTTCTTTAGTTAAGGATGTTTTACTGACGTTTTGATATGATTTTCATTGCAGTTTGTTACAATGATGAATGTAATTAAAGAAATGATTTCAAAATCATTGCTTAAAAATGCAAAATCTGGAAAAAACAGCGGAATATAGTCTCACCTAATAGCGGATATCTTAATTATTGGTTACACCAACTTAAAAAACACTTGAAGAATTTATGCTGTTATAACTGAGAGATTAGTTTAAGAAGAGTTTATGCTGAAAATTGGAATTGAACACATCATAACACCTTGGCATATTTGATTATAGGGACAATTACTTTGAAAATGGCACCTTCCAAACAAGTGTACCCATAGTGCACCTAATTCAAACAAAAGGCAGAGATGCCAACACTTTTATGAGCAAACTGTAGTGAGGATGTCAAAAATCTGTAGTCCGAGGGTCACGCAGTGACCCAAGTATGCTAAGGGGGTTCGGGGCATGCCAATTTTTTTATTCCGAGATGCAATTTCCTGCATTCTGGGACCAAAAATGACAATAAGTTCACACGGATATTTGCTGCTAAATACATGTAGTTATTTTCATTCATGTTATATCAATGTAACACTGAAACAAAACACTTGAAATATCATAAAAAATATTTTTTTTCGATCGTAATAAAAATCGTAGTTGTATGCAAACTGGTCGTAGTTGTCAAAATGCAAACGAAATTCGCATAAAATACGGATAAATCTTAGTGGTTGGCATCTCTGAAAAGGGCATCTGATTCTGCATAGTAAGCTCTGGGTAATTTAAAATATTACTTATCACTAGTCGATGTCTCACGTTATCACGAGATAGTCCGAGATTCGCAAGATATGGCGGAGAAAACCGAAACGAGTAATCAAAATTCGAATAGTGCATGTTTTCGTGAATATAGCCATGTACGAAGATTTTAAGATGTGTTAGCGTTACTCTAGACAGTTGCTCTTACTCAAGCAATAACGGTAAACATCGTAAGTGGGGAAAACACGAGACCGCTTGGAAATTATTTTTTAAATCCTTACTTTAATGCAATGCGATTCGACTGATGTAACAGAGCTAAAGAGTATTGCTGCATTAAGTGTGCATGGTTGATTTTAAGTGATAGGATATTTGCTTTTTTGTCAAGTTTCGATATCTCTGCTTGAAAATGTGAATGAAAATGTGAAAAGTATATTTCTGGCAATAGAACAAATCCTCTTGATCATTGGCCGATTGGCTAGTGAAACAATTAATGTTATTAGGCATTGTCCATAGAACATCCTATCACAACAATGACAGGCTGGAACAGCTTGTCCACCATACCAAGTATAGGTCCTTCAATGCCACACGAGAGAGGCTAATGGATACTCTTCAGACTTATTGATGGCCGTCGACTCTCACCTGTGTCTACGCTTCTCACCAAGGCTGGGGTCACAGCTTTGCTGGTCATTTCAGCCGCAGTCTGATAGAGTTCTTCATCATCGTCTCAGGCACAGGCTGTGGACTGAGCATGTCGGGTAACTCATTCGTGCTCGGCAGTCGCTGCAAACAACGAGTAATGATTATTTATCAGAGACAATTATATAACTAGAAAGGGCAGTTGTCGCCAACTACATGTATCCACCGTGTTCTCCCCAAGATGTGTAAGTATACGAAGTTTGGTCGCGCTAGGTCAATTAGGGGCCGAGTTATATAGCGGAAGGGAAATATAATGAAGGTCAAGGTCAATGTCAAATAAAGGTTGCAGTGACCTGGTTTCGGTACGCGACACACCTTCTCCCCAAGATGTGCAAGTATACCAAGTTTGGTCGCGCTAGGTCAATTAGGGGCCGAGTTATAGAGCGGAAGGGAAATATGATCAAGGTCAGGGTCAAATAAAAGCCACAGTGACCTGGTTTTGGTACGCGACACGCATTCTCCCCAAGATGTGTAAGTATACGAAGTTTGGTAGAGCTAGGTCAACCGCTCTATAACTCGGCCCCTAAAAGGAAATATGATCAAGGTCAAATAAAAGCCACAGTGACCTGGTTTTGGTACGCGACACACATTCTCCCCAAGATGTGCAAGTATAGCAAGTTTGGTAGCACTAGGTCAATTAGGGGCCGAGTTATAGAGCGGAAAGGAAATATGATCAAGGTCAAGGTAAATGTCAAATAAAGGTCGTAGTGACCTGGTTTCGGTATGCGACACACCTTCTCCTCAAGATTTGTAAGTATACCAAGTTTGGTAGCGCTAGGTCAATTAGGGGCCGAGTTATAGAGCGGAAGGGAAATATGATCAAGGTCAAGGTCAAATAAAAGCCGCAGTGACGTGGTTTTGGTACGCGACACACATTAATTAATATTTTCCCCAAGATGTGTAAGTATACCAAGTTTGGTTCGCGCTAGGTCAATTAGGGGCCGAGTTATAGAGCGGAAGGGAAATATGATCAAGGTCAAGGTCAAATAAAAGCCGCAGTGACCTTGTTTTGGTACGGGACACACCTTTTCCCAAGATGTGTAAGTATACCAAGTTTGGTAGCGCTGGGTCAATTAGGGGCCGAGTTATAGAGTGAAATGGAAATATAATCAAGGTCAAGGTAAAGGTCAAATAAAGGTCACAGTGACCTGGTTTTGGTACGCTGCTCACCTTCTCCCCAAGATGTGTAAGTATACCAAGTTTGGTAGCGCTAGTTCAATTAGGGGTCGAGTTATAGGGCGGAAGGGAAATTGTCTGCGGCGGCGGCGGCTGGGGAGACATGAAACCATTATCCCTGCCGACTTCGTCACAAGGGATACAATAAGTATAACAGAAATAACTCACAGGGGTCGAAATTAGATTTTTATTATGGTATCCATTTGGGATACCAGGTATTGAAATCTGGTATCCCCCCCCAAAGATATTTTGTCCCCATTTTTTGGATAGTAATTTCAACTTTCCTTCAAAATTCTGTTTGCCTTCAAAATTCTCATCGCTCGCGTTCATTTTACATACGCCTCCACAGTACACTGCAGACGTATTGTCTAGACGCATTGTCTGGTTCGCTTGATACAATGTATACACATCACATTTATGATCAACATCGGCTTCTTGCAACAATGCAATATGCAATGAATATCTTGCAAATAATTATGCTATGCCTAATGCTAGATCGCGCGCACTCGCTCAGATGCGCTGCCATATAAAGTTGATAATTCAACAACCACTATCCCGATTTTGGCGATTTTTTGTTACTATCCCGGCGGGATACCAAGCATTGAAATCTGGTATCCAACACAAGAATCTACTATCCCGCGGATATCGGGATACCGCTAATTTCGACCCCTGACTCATTACTTAAATTGTAACAAAATCCATAATCAAATGAGAAATAACAGTCGAGCTTTATTATTTAACTTGAATGGGGCCTATAAGTCGTCCGATAATAGAAAATGTTGCATAACGGGAGAACCGGGTGGGAGTAAAACAAATTGAGGATTAAAAAGAAGTGCACTATAAGCATATCTGGTTAATTAATAATCAGTCAACATAATAATAAATAAAATAATAGTTCACAGACTGTTAGTTAGTTACTGTTTAAAAATGAGTGATTGAAGTTTGTTTCCTGGACTTGCTTAGACAAGCAAAGTAATCTATGGTGGTATGAGATGCAGTGATGCACACAAAGCGGCATGGAATTAAAAAAGACTGGTAAGCATGGATGCACAGCACAATACTGTACATCACACATACAACATGCAGATTGACCGTGCGAGATAACCGAGGGCAGATAACTGAGGCTCTCCTGTATTACAATAATTAGTCATCATTTTTAGCTCGTCTGACATAGTCAGATTGAGCTTGTATAATGGCGCTGGCATCCGTCCGTCCATCCGTCAACTTTTGGGCACAAATCTAAACGGCTCGATGTACAGTTTCGAAATTCGGGGTGTATGGGGGTAATCAGAAAACGAGTTGGGATCTCGAATTCAGGAGTCAAAGGTCAAAGGTCATGATGTTTAAAAGAAGGGGGAACATTCCCCCTTTAACTTAAGGTATAGGGCCGGACACACCAGGCGATTGCATCGGGCGATGGCATCGCGCAGTCGTGGACACACCAGGCGATGCCATCGGGCGATGGCATCGGGCGATGGCATCGCACGATTCTTGCGTGCGCAGTGCACTTGGCTGATGAACTCTGATTGGCTGATGAATTGTACAATCGCCCGATGGCATCGGGCAGTCGTGGACACACCAGGCGATGGCATCGGGCGATAATATCAAAACGTTTTGATCTGTGCGATGGCATCGGCCGATGGCATCGGGCGATGAAATCGGCGGCGATTGAGTGGACACACCAGGCGATTTTCACGGCGATGCCATCGGGCGATGAAATCGGCGGCGATTGAGTGGACACACCAGGCGATTTTCACGCCGATGCCATCGCCTGGTGTGTCCGGCCCTTATAGGGAGGAAATGCGGAATTGTGGTACAAATCTCAATGGCTTGACCTATGGTTGTGGTAATCGGTGTATAGCGTCATGGTGGGAAAAGCCATGACTGCCGAAATTGGAGGTCACGGATTCACGACATTGATTTGTTGACTGTTAACAAAAGACTGAACTGCTTTTGCTATTATTAGAGCCCATACCTGTGTGGATGTAAGGCTACAGTTGCACAGTTCAATAATTATTGCAAAGGCAAATGTTTGTTGAACAAGGTTTATGCTCCTTAAATCATACTATTTTCTAAAGCAGTCTGTATATTAAAGGGAGAGTTTACTCTAGGTTCTAGGGTTATTTTCAGCTAATTTAGGTTATAATTACGCTACATAAAAAGTTTCATGGTTCAATCACCATTAGAAATATTATTAAAAAGGATTGTAATATCTTATAAACGACATATAGTTTCAGTTATAATATGGATAAATTTGCCCTAAACTGAATATCGTTCAGTTAAATAGCATTTAGGTATAAATATAATTGCACTTTTGTTATTAGCCATCGGTCTGTAACCTGCAAAATAAATGGTCAAATACGCAACTTTTTCGGGGTGGCAGCACGGTCGCGGGTGTCATGGCGCCGTTCAAATTTCGCAGCGTTGATGTGTAAATAATTATAACAATTAAATTAGGTATCTGGTAACAAATACGTGTGGGTATAGACGATTTGTTATACAGTAAGTACAGTTGTATGCAGTAAAATCCTAGAGGCTACTGTCCCTTTAATAGCACCCTGAATGCTCGCGTGGGTACCTAGATGGAATAATTCTGTCCCATATAACCTTTTTTATATTTTGGTGAGGGTTATATTGGGACAGAACGGGGTTCATTGAAATTTCGTGAGATCGCATGCAAAATGCATGCGCTGCGAATGCGGCCCGTACTCCGCTATTGCCGTGAAAAAAAACCTACCGTTCCCTTCTACATGGCTTTACCTTGCTACTGATATGTGTATACATTCACTTCAATCGTTATTCACTTCTTAAAAGATTGTTTTTCAGAAGGACCGCTTCGTTCCACTTTCCTAAATCATTTGCCATTTACAAACAATCAGACCAATCAGAGCGAGTCTATCAGCCCTCCTGCAGCGCCACAGATACAAGCGAGAACCAGGCTATTGTAAGACTCGCTCTGATTGGTCTGATTGTTTGTAAATGGCGAATGATTTAGGAAAGTGGAAAGAAGCAGTCTTTCTGAAAAACAATCTTTTAAGATGTGTCGGAGGTGTGCACTTTTGGAAAGAAGCATGAAAATTGGCTGATTTCAAAAATTGCGGGAAACACGATGTCACTCCAACGTTTCCTGTCAAAAAATCAAAAATTAAAAATGGCCGCCAGAAAAAATGTTTTTGCCCATAAATCAGTTGTAAGTGCCCCGATTACCATAATCTTGGTGTATATACCTGTCTTTAAAGTCAAAGAATGCAATAAAACACATGTCAAATATCATAAGATATAATCTTCCCGCCAAAAAGTTGAAAATTCAAAATCTGATCTCTGTCAGTGTCTCATATGATCGGATTTGCTTGCTGATTCTCTGTTACACTGTCCTAAACAGAAGCACATCTGTGTACACTCGAGATTTGCTTTGACACACTTGCATCTTTTTGTACATGAATTTTTGTATCCACATTTTAACAGTTCGTGCCTAGCTTTGGCTGCCTCTGGAAGAGTGGTCCAGCATGGAGACCATGGGGAATCATCTGTCACTCTCTCACAGCCCCATAAATCTGGCGATGGAACTTTAAGGTCTCCTATAAGTGACTGTCCCCAGATGTGCCCTACCTGATAAACAGCCCTTTTCACATGCTGTTCCAGGGCATGCAACGTTAGAGAAATGTTTTCCATCTTATGGTTTTGAGTGAACAACTGCTTCCTGGCTTCATTCACATGGCTGAGTGCTGATGTTCGCTGATACAAGAGAAGAAAATATCTCTCTATTTGCTCTACGTCGTCGGGGGACACCTGGCTTAGAGCATAAGATAACCGAGCAAAAATCGGTTTGAGATGAGGCATACTGCAACAAACAGCCCAAGCTGTTCTCTTTCCAATTCCATGGAAGGCAGGAACAGTATCACATCCTG